AACATATATGCACACAAAAGAATGTATTCTAGGGCCAGTGAGATGTGTCAGAGACCCAAACCTGATGGCCTGAATTCAATCCCTGGCATGAACCCATGTTTTAAAAAATCTACATGTAGAGACTTGTGACTATAATCCCAGCACTGCTATGGCGGGATGGGAGGTGTGACTCTAGGCCCAGCACTGCTATGGCGGGATGGGAGGTGTGACTATAATCCCAGCACTGCTATGGTGGGATGGGAGGTGTGACTCTAGGCCCAGCACTGCTATGGTGGGATGGGAGGTGTGACTATAATCCCAGCACTGCTATGGTGGGATGGGAGGTGTGACTATAATCCCAGCATTGCTATGGCGGGATGGGAGGCAGAGGCAGGAGACTCAATCAGAGCTCGAATGTGCAGCACAGCATTTAAAACAAAAAGAGAGACTCTGCCTCAAAATCAAGTTGGAAGGAGAGAATCAACAGCAAGAAAGTTGTTTTGTGACCCCCACACAGGCCATGGCATGCACACATGGGCATGTGCATACATAGACACACACAAATACATAAATGTACAGAATTTATTCTAATTTCCTTTTTTATTTTGTTATTGTTTTAAAAAGGGTCTCTCAACAGGCAGTGGTGGCACATGCCTTTAATCCCAGCACTTGGGAGGCAGAGCCAGGCAGACCTCTGTGAGTTTGAGGCCAGCCTGGTCTACAGAGCAGGATCCAGGACAGCCACCAAAACTACACAGAGAAACCCTGTCTCAAAAAAAAAAAAAAAAAAGGGGGGGGGGGAGGTCTCTCTATCTAGCCCTAGCTATCATGGAACATGCTATGTAGACCAGACTGGCCTCAAACTCATAGAGCTCTACCTGTCTCTGCTTCCAGAGTGCTTGGATTAAAGCCCCACCGTGCCCAGCTATTCTACCTTTCTTAAGTTCAATTATTCTATTCTATTATTGTTGATAGATATAGATTTTAAGATCCTGGCCTTAATTCCCAGTACCACACATGCAGAAAAAAGAAGGAAGGAAAGAAGGAAGGAAGGAAGGAAGGAAGGAAGGAAGGAAGGAAGGAAGGAAGGAAGGAAGGAAAAAAGAAAAAGAAAAACCTATCAACATGTACATGCATGCACACATGTTTGTGTGTACAGTTACACAGGATAGTTATTCTCTAATTTAACAGCATCTCTGTTTCATTATTAAGATATTTGAAAAGTAGTAAATTGAAAATATTGGTGTCCTGATGTTTCATCTTTTATCACACATCAATGCCATATCCTTTATCACAGATTAATGACAAAAATTAATTATAGATCATTGCCAAGACCAGTAGGCAACTTTCAAAATTAAATTTTGTGTGAACACCAAAAACTCCAATAATGTTTTTGCTCTATCACTTCTTATGGAGGGAAATATTCTTACTGATCCACAAGTATATTATAGGGGGGAAAATCAGATTTTTTTTAAACAAATCCAACTGTATCTTTGGGTAGAAACTACAATGCTCCTTATTGAAAGTGCTCCATGGAATTGCTAAGTTCTTAGTAAAAAGGAAGGTAGAGATTTTAACCTTTTAACCATAGATACATTTTGTATGAATGATGTCACACTTACAAAAATAATTTCATGGTGTGTCAGTGACTTTTCTCCATGGTGACCAAAATGCCTGGCCTGGGCAACTTAACATAGGACAGTTCATTATGGCTCCTGGTTTCGGAGGACTCAGTCATCATGGTTGTGAGAGAATGGAGGAACTGGTGTGTGGCACCAGATGCATATCCTGGAACTCTTCACCTACAGCTAGATAGGCACAGAGAAAGAGACCTGAAGCAGGACCAGACTATGAGCCTCCCAATGACCTAGGTCTGCCAGTCAGGGTCCATCTTCCAAAGGTTCTACATCCTCCCAAAACAGGAGCTGAGGCCAAGTGTTCAAATGCATGAGCCTATGGGGGATATTCCACAGTCAGTGTGAGAAGTCACACACAGAGACGGATCTGGAATAAATTCTCCTAAGCTCCAGTTTCCTGCCATTTGGGAACAAGAAAGTAGCCTCACCTTCCAGTCGGCTGTCTGTAACCCTGAACAAAGCCCTCGGAGCTAACATGGCACCCTGTGTTTCCTCTGCAGACTGCATCGTCAGCTATTAAAGGTGCTATTCAGCTGGGAATAGGATACACAGTGGGGAATCTCACTTCCAAGCCCGAGCGCGATGTCCTCATGCAAGACTTTTATGTGGTGGAAAGTGTGTTCCTACCCAGGTAAGAACATTTTAATTTGAAATGATTCCATTCTGAGGCAACTTCACAGTGACTTCCTTCTGGTGAGGGACTTTCCTACCATGTGCATGTCGAGGGTGTGGGGGTGGGACCTGTGGCTCCACCATGTTGTTGCTTAAGAATGTCCTGCATTTCCCTTGTAGAGAGTGGCATCCATGGGTCAGCTGTAATTAGTTGTGATGGATGCCTGGAAGACTGTGCAGAAGGATCATGGGATTTGGTGGGTGAGGGTAAAGAACTTTCAGAGTAAAGTCTGCCACGTGATTTGAGAGCGCTTCCACTGGGCAGTGCAGGCGCCACGGTTTTGTTGTGACTAATTGAAGAGTGAGCTGGGGCTGCACAAATGGCTCAGCAGTTAAGAGCACTGGATGCTTTTGAAGAGGACCTGGGTTCGGTTCCCAGCACCCACATGGCAGCTCACAACCATCTATAACTCCACTCCCAGGGGATTCAACACCCTCTCCTGGCCTCCAAGGGCACCAGGCATACATATGATACACATACATGCATACAGGCAAACACTCATACACATAAAATAGAACAAATAAATCTTCTTAAAAATCAATAATTACTTAAAGAATGGACTGGAGGGACCACAAATGGTCTTGCATCTGAATTAAGACAATAATAAGTTGTCTTTTATGATGACTTTGACTTAAATTTCCTCCAGAAAAACGTGAGGTAATGCTGTTATTTTGACGCCATGTTTGTGAAACCACCAAAGTTATCCATACATTTATCAGTCTGGGGAAGAAAAAATAAATGGTTTAGAACCAAATACATGGGCTGGTGAGATGACTCAGTGGGTCAGGCACTCACCTCCAAGCCTGACTCCCTGAGTTTGATCCCTAAGACTCATACTGTAGGAAGATAAAGCGTCTCTCACAAGTTGTTCTCTGACCTCACACCAACATATGCATGTGTGCATATGGGTGCACGTGAGCTTGTGCGTACATAAACATGTGCGCACACACAAAATGAATGTAATAAAAAATATCTTTAAAAGCAAATACATGTGGAAATGAAAAACAGTGATGGAACTGTATTCCTGAGGCGTCTCTACGTTGTGTGTTCTATGCCCTAATAAGTAAAAATATTAAAGGCGATTCCACTGTTATAAAAGGCAATCATTGTTCGGTTGAAATGTGTCTACAACTGCACGGGTTTTTCAAAGAAAATGAACTACAGATAAAGACATTTTCCTTGGGGACGCTTACTTTGTCTCTGTGACTCTGAGGAGTGACTTTTCAGACACATGTATTTAAAATGAGCCATTTTGTGGTTGGGCTTGATCTCATCAGTCAGGTGTATAAAGGAAGCCTGTGACAATCATCATCCCTCAGTGTCCATGAGGGTGGGTTCTTGCATCCGAAAGCATCAGAAAAGCCATCAATGCTAAGGTCCCTTACGTAGCACAAACCTGCATATGACTTGCACACATTCTCCTGTATACTTTTTTATTGCATTTAGTTTTATGAATGGGTGTGAATACATGCATATGCATCACTATAATCGGACTTTCTTTGGACCACCAGCTCCACAGAGACTTCTTAAAAATTATGAAAGTTTGGCCTTAGCTTAGGCTTGTTTCCAACTGGCTCATAAAACTTAAATTAACCCATTTATATTAATCTACATTCTGCCACGTGGCTCCTTACCTCTCCTCAGAACTATATGTCCAACTTCCTCCACATCTTGCTGGTGAATCCCCACCTCTCAGATTCTCCCCAGAAGTCCCACCTATCCTCTCCTGCCTAGCTATTAATCATTTGGCTCTTTGTTAAACCTATCAGAAGGTGCCTCAGGCCAGTAAGGAAGTACAGACACATATCAAATATCCTGCAACAGTTCGCCCCAGAGCCTCTCACAGGAAACATTGTTTTAGGTTAGATAACTCTTTGTGTAGGACTGGGTGCCCCAGGCCCTACCAGTAATGATATCCTAATTACCACAGCAGCCAAAACTCCCCACAAAGTGATAGACACATTGAGTATCTTGATTGTGACTATGGTTTCTGTAAAAAAAAAAAAAAAATAGCAATTCATAGCCAGACATAATGGCACACACTTTAACCCCAGCAATTAGGAGGCAGAGGCAGGTGGATCTCTGAGTTGGAGACCAGCCGGGTCTACACAGTGAGCTCCAAGACAGTCAGAGCTGCACAGTGAGACCCTGTCTTGAAAAAACAAACCAACAAAAAAAGAGCAATTCATACGTTGATTGTATGTATGTGTGTATGTATCAAATAGTTCTCCTCACCCTCATATTGCTAAGCTCATCTGAGGATGTGGGTCAGGGCAAGTGACCAGCACAGGCTCTAGTTGGAAGCAACTGGAACATTCTGAGATCTCTGGAATCTCTAAAGCATGGGTTTACCTCAGTCCTAGAGAACTAATTGCTTGAAGTGACAGGCTGTTTAATTTATTTTTTAACATTGTTTTATATATATTGGCATTTTTCTGCATCTATATCTGTGTATTCCTTGCATGCCTGATGCCCTCAGAGGTCAGAATTGGAGGAAGTCAGATCCCTTGAAACTTGCATTAGAGATGGCTGTGAGCCACCATGTTGGTGCTAGAAATTGAATCTGGGTCCTCTTCAAGAGCAGCTAATGTTTTTAACCACATCTCTCCAGCCTCTGACATGCTGTTTTAATTTACCTTCACTCTGAAGCAACAGAATCGGTTTCCCTTAGCAACCAAATGCATTGTGTGCCTTTTTTTATTTTGAAATATCTCAAAGCTATTTTTAGATACCACGTATTTATTCTACAGATCATTTCATTTTGTAGATAGGAGAAGGCCTGGACATTTAAGATTTGAGGGCTGTATAACAGTGCCGGTCCAGCTTCTGATTATAAGGTCTTCCAAAATCAACGGAGATAAGTAAAAGAATCATGAGCATCCGGCACCCTGATAAGATGCTCTAGATAAGTTTTCATTACTGGTGGGATAGAGACAGAAGATGTTTTATAACATTTGTACCGTGTGATGTACCGTGTGACCATGAACCTGAGGTGTCAAAGGGAAGAAAGCTTTAGTTACCAGCTGTAAATCAAGCATGCTTTTGTGTATTTAACATACAATGTATATTATAATTTTAGCTTACTCCTTTTTTTTTTTGTTTTGTTTTATTTCTTTAGACAGGGTCTCACTGTATAGCTCTGGCTGTCCTGGATCTCACTCTGTAGGACAGAACAGCCTTTAACTCACAGAGTTCTGCCTGCCTCTGCCTCCCCAGTGCTGGGTTTAAAGGTGTGTGCTTACTGGCTAGCTTACTCTTATTACCTTCCACATTTACAAAAAAAGAAAGGGGGAGGGAGGAAGGAAGGGGAGAGAGAGAGAGAGAGAGAGAGAGAGAGAGAGAGAGAGAGAGAGAGAGAGAGAGAAGT